AATGTATGTCAGGGTCGAAAACTTTGTAACAATTCCCTCAAACCAGACAAAACAACAGGCCCCCTCCTCTGGGTACAAAAGATTACAATTACCATACAGCGGGAACGCCAGACGTCTTAGCCATATTAATAACATTTCGAGGATAAAACTAAAAATTAGAGAAAAAAAAATTAAAAACTCTTTCAAATTCCTGTACGTTTAAATGATGGCCCAATGATTTACAGCCTATTAGTTTTTTTTCTAATCTGAAGATGTAATTCAGCCAACGGCAATATGTAATAGACAAAGTATGTAAATTGAAATTAATTGCCGTCCGGCCGAATGGATAACTCCAAGCGACGTGGGGTGTAATCAATATTCTATATCGCCCATATTACATGTATTGTTATAAATGACTGACTTCAACTGGTGTCTAATCAAGAGGAACACGTCAGCATGTGCCATGATGTCAGCTCCTGCCTTTAAAGTAGGGCAAATCAATTAATGTCGGGACAGATCGCTTAGTATTCACATTTAGAACTTATCTATATTGTTTCAGTGGCACATTTAGTTATTGAACTGGAAATACACGGGGCATACTTATATAGCATACCATTAGTTACAGAGCGCGTTTCGATTTAGATTCTATAGTCTATGTCAAGCAACACTAAAAATGATGGGACAATAAACAACAATAGCAGCAACCTAGTTAATGTCGCTGATCGTCTAACAAACATATTCGTCTGACAAACTTAGCTGATGTCCCTGTTCGTCTGACAAACTTACTTAATGGCCTTGTTCGTCTGACAAACTTAGTTAATGGCCTTGTTCGTCTGACAAACTAAGTTAATGGCCTTGTTCGTCTGACAAACTTAGTTAATGATTCTGTTCGGATTATAAACTTTTAGTTAATGACTCGGTGTGTCTGACAAACTTAGTTAACTAATGAATGGCTTCGTATGAATGCCTCGATTGGTCTGACAAACTTGATTATTGAGTCGATTTGTCTGACATAATTAATAACTCGGTTGATCTGACAAACTTTGTCAATGACTCGGTTCGTCTTATAAACTTTTAATTAGTGGCTCGGTTTGTCTGACAAACTTAATTAGTTAATGACTCAGTTCGTCTGACAAAATTATATTATGATTCGGTTCGTCTGACAAACTGATTTAATGACTAAGTTCGTCTGACAGACTTGGATAATAACTCAGTTTGCCTAAGAAACTTAATTAATGACTCGGTTCGTTTGAAAAAAAAACTTAATTAATGACTCGGTTCGTCTGACAAACGGTTTATTCCCACGAAGACGCAGTTATTGACCGTAACGGATTAAACGAGGTCGTTTTCGACGATTTCATGGGAATCCTGCTCCTAGGGATTAAAATCGTAACAATGGTGTTATAGATTGTTATGATAAGAATTTACACTTTCATAATGCCCAATGTAACTAATTAACCAATATTTTAGCATCGTTTTTGGCATGAGAAATGAAAACATAACTACACTATAACAAAAATTAATTTAATTTCGCCAAAAAAGACACCCTGTCTAAATTCTCGACTAAAGTCAATTCCTCTTCCTCGTGTCTTCCTTTTAATTCCTGGAGCTGGCTTTGGATTTGAGCATATTTATATCTCTTCCTTGGTGGTTAATATTTTGTTCTTGTTGTAAAAATGTGATCATTTCAAAAATATTCGGATGGGCTTTTCCAACTCGCTTCTTGATTCTTGCATGCCATCCTTCCAGAGTGTTGTAGGTTCAGAGTGAACATAAATTCATAAAATCTTTTAACACCGTTAATTGGGTCCTAATAGCAACATGCCTCTCTTCAAACGAAAGCCGACGAGTCGAAATCTGCGCCTTCGTGGTAAGGATTAATTTTGGTCACGCTCTGTAACTGCGCTTTCGTGGGAATACACCTGACAAACTTAGTAAATAACTCGTTACGCCTGACAAACGCAGTTAACAAACTTAGTTTATGGCTTGGCTCGTCTGACAAACTGAGATACTTACTCGGTTCGTCTGAAAAACCTAATTAATACCTCGGTTCGTCTGACAAACTTACTTAGTTAATGACTCGATTCCTCTGACAAACTTCCTTAGTTAATAATGGCTCGGTTACCCTTACAATTGTAGCACTCGAACATCATGGTATTTACGGTAACCACTACCCTATATGTCATATTCAGTACTTGAAAACTCCAGTTTCATAACGAGGCTGCAACATTAGAAGAATTGTATAATTTGAGCGTTCTTTTTATCAATATGCAATTGCGAAAGGATTCTACGGTGACAATATAAATATCCCAACATGATCCGATACGGGTTTGCAAAGAATGTCCCGGCTGTTTTCCGTTGATTGCTGTACTAGACTGACTGCAGCTGGTAGTAGCCATGCAATGGGAATTGTGGTTGTTATATGGTTACCAATAAGGGAAAAAAACTCATCTGTGATTTACATAGTTTGCTAGGTATTTTCCGTTTGCCGTAATCTCTCAACGTAGGTATCAAATTTATGTTGTACATTTTTTGTATTAGACAATTTTTGTTTTCCAAAATATGCTACGATCACTGTTGTCGCATGAATTGTAGGTGAAACGCAAGTGTCTCCTCATTATTTTGAAATAAATTAAGATAATATTAAATCCCTCAATAATTTTGCAACCATAACCCTGCCAATATTGTGATCTCAATGTAAACAATCCTAAACAACTTTAATATTGGAGATTGTGTAGGGTGTCATAATCTCATATGAACAGTTTGGAACCAATTATCTCCCCACACCACCCCTCCCGTCAGAATTAGAACATGGTAGATTTTGGTCAATCCGGAAACTTATAATTATTCTTGCTCTTTAGGACCGACGGTACTATATTTTAATATACATAATTAATAATAATGATATTTATTTATAAAATCGGGTGACCACTCACATGTGTTGGAAAGTGGACAGTTCATGGAACAGAAACAACATATAAATTTGAAAGAGGACGCATCATAATTTTCATAACATTTGAGATAGACAACATTCCAGATCTCAGTCCAACCTTATTTGTTTAAATGACACTTTGGCCTACATAGATTACAATCAAATAGTTCATTAAAATAAAGTGAGTTGGCGAGGTGACAACTATTCTAACTGATTGTAGACTGACAAGAGATGTAAGACTAATTTTTTTTCTTTTGGGAAAAGTATCCGCAAACTTTACTAATCCATTAGGATAAATGTTATTGTGGACATTTTGACGTATTGAGATTTCGGTGCAATGTTTATTTAAATAATCAAGTATTCACTTTTAGTTTGATAAGGGCAAGGGTTCAATTATTAACTTAAATGTCAGCAATTTTCTTTTACACAGGATCGGTTTTACCAAAACTATTTAAGGATAGATAAACCTGTTTTACTTGATGTCATTCTCAATGAGAGACATCAGCCCTCTTTATTTCGTCAAGGCAGGCTTAGGTTGTCGAGTGGTCCAATGCGTGCGCTGTAAATCATACGGTCCGTGATTTAGTCAAGTGGCGTAGTTTCGAGCCCTACCACTTCCGCGACAACGAGTAGGGTCGACTGTCCAACCTCGTTGGTTTTCTCTGGATCCTTCGAGTTCCTCCCACTACTAAAGACCCCTACGCGGAAGCGAATTACTGAAATAAAACAGAGACAAAACGTAGTGCCAAAATGACCTAGTTTGTGTATAGTGGACGTTTAACCGGTTGCTCCGGATTTGGGTCTATGACAATCCATCCATTACACCCGGTGTTTAGCCAATATTAATGAATGTTATTTGGCGTTCATCGACCCAAGCTCCAACGATCACTCCAAAGTGAACAGTTACTCTCCTGTGGTGAGTCATATTGACTCATTGAGTAAGGTCCTCGGGATATTCCAGCGTGGTTGTCAGTGGTACAGTGCGGAGGTCTCGGTTACAATCGCGTTATTCGCCAATAACGTTCCTCCAGATATTTCAGCCTAAACTGTCAAAGGTTCTTTTACGTTTTTGTCACATCTGAACGACTAGACCCATTCCGGAAAATCTTCTCGGCCAACTACAGACGCGAACTCTTGACCTTCTGGTTAGCGACCCAGCGCGGCTCCCAATGAAGGACGGGGGTTGGTGCATTAGACGTTAAACCCCATCTCATTTCATTTACTCGTTGAAACCAAATTTGTCTGGAACAGTCGTTACATAAGCATTGTTGGATACATTGGTTATATGTAAATACAGCGTGTTCCTTTCACTCGTTAAAACCAGATTTGTCTGGAATAAAGTCGCCACATAAATTACTTATAAAAAGTCTTACTCTATATATCTACAGCCATACGAAGATTGTCATTTTAAACATTTATTCAGATTACTCGACAATTCACATTATTACGATCACCATAAAAGCATATTAAATGAAATGCGGTTAACACCCTGTTTTATGCACCAAAGGGGTAAATGCCACGAATTGCGCTATTATGGAAATTTTACTCGGACAGTGGTCAGAGTTCTTTTTACCACTTGGGACATCGATTATTCAAACCATCCGATTTTCTACACGTTTTTCCTAACAAGCAAGGTCGGAAGTCCAGAGGAACTTTCACGATTAACACTGGGATCTTTTTATCGGGCCAGTGCTATCGCGAATAAACATTTAAGCACAAACTATGTTCGATGCACACGCAGGACAGGCTTACCCTTACTTAAACACCCTATGCCATCCTTCATGCCGTTAGGAAGTTGAAATAATTTATGTTGTACATTATGTTATTATATCCAGTATTTTATGAAATACTGAGTGGTGTCATGTTCGATACATATATAGGACATGATTACACTTACCAGAACACCTGCTACCACCTTCTATGCGGTTGGTTAAGATGTGGAAATATCTCACATACATTGTATGTTACATTATCCAGTATTTCAAGACAGGGTGGCATATATGATGGCTAATAATTATTGAGAAATAACGGGTTAATTATTCTGGTAGGTAAGTGTCTACAGACAACTAGAACTATAGAAGTTATATACATTAGACAGTGATCTTTAATACACTGCAATTGGTTAATATTGGATGATGAGACTCAATGTCTTTTGATCGATGTTTCGCAGATCAATGAATGCAACTTTTATAGCAGACGACGGAATCAGCCACTGAGCAGTAATCCGTTTGACATACGTTACTAAGACGCTTCTAGGGAATTTAATGTGATTTTTTTCAGCGAGAAAATTTCTCGAATTGAAATGAGTTTAACTAAGTTACTCTTCGATTTCAATATGGTTTTGGTCATGTTCGATCGTCCGACGGCGCCTTAAAGAGTGTTTGTGTATTCATGGACATTACAAGCAGTGAAGGAAGGCATTGTCAAAGATTGTGTGACTAGAAGAAGAGCATATTATTGTACTCTATACCCCCGGTTGTGGTGGAATCGAAGTAGCTGTTGATCGCAAACTAAACACGACTCTATATTTATTCAGTGCTAGCTATAATCCTTCACAAATACTCCCCACCACTTACACAGCACACGGAACAAAAACTTTTCAACAGTTACCAAAGAAATGCGATCAAGAAACCCCTCCTGGCACACCAAGGAAATTCGATTTTTTGATTCATGAAAGCGGCGCCGTATTTCGATTGTCAGCAAGTGTAAGCAGTCGTGAAAATGGTGGTTGGATGAGATAGATAAGTGATAGATGTAGTATAGCATAACAGACAATTTATAACAAGACTCTAAAAACAATAGTAAGTTTGTTTATATACTCTAATATACTTTTCTTCTTAATTTCATATTTATTAATTACGAACCTTTTATAGATACATGTATTATAGAGTTTGATTTTGTTTTGTTAGATTGGCGTTATATTAATTGCGTCGTAACAGTTGTCGCATTCGATCCAAAATTTAGCATCAAAGTGATTTTCTTGATGAATTTTAATAATCTACATGTCGTATTTCAGATTTTATATATTTACCTCGATATTTCTATTGATATTATGCGTTATCATTTTGCGAATTTTAGCGGCGATACCGTGTTTGTGTCTGTTATCAAATAACCACTACGTGCGCCATAACCATATTTTGCTAATTGGATCTATATTTTATTGACAATAATTATAATAGGACACAGATCTATATCCGAGAATATCCCACGTTTGAACTTTTTTGAGAGTTTTTATCGTATTTAAACCTTGAAAGATGTTTTTTTTTAAAACGTGGTCAATAGGCGAAAGGACGTTGACATATTGTATACATATTTTAAAAAAAAAAAAAAAACATTTTGAGAAAGTTTTTGTTTTATTATCATAGACGCTCACATATTTTATAATTTACTTTTATGATATTTAACCAAATGAAAACAATCCGCGTTCTATTAATTAGAATTAGTCTATATTTTGACTAAACGTGTGGGTCGATTTTGCTTGATTTTTTTACGTATAATGTATCACGTGATAGGTTTTTATTGACGTTTTCTTGTGTTTTATATAGTTAGCTAAAACAAAGACTACATTACAATATAAGATTAACAATGTTTCTATTATTCCCAATGGTGCAGAAAAGTAGGACTTTAAACCCCATTTCATTTGTCATTAAACAATGTGTCTAAGGATTTTAGGAAAGGGATGTTAGGTCTATTGAAAATGTATATCTTTGCGTGCACACTGTTTTGCATCCGTTCATTAAAATGGTTTCCGGTGTGGTTCCCCCTTGTCAGTGATGCAGGACGGATGGCCTGACAAGGACAGCTGTCTAGTCGTTCGGGTGCGACGAAAAACCGAGGTCCCGTGCACACATTGGCGTGCACGTAAAAGATTCCTTGACAGTTGGAATTCGATATAAGAGTAGGCCGTAGTGCCGCTGTCCGGGCAAAATTTCCCTCATAGCACACTGTATGGCATATGCCCGTCTTCATTAGCCCAGTTCGGAGCAGAACAGTAGGACGTTAAACCCCATTTCATTTCATTTCATTAAAATGGCCGACGAAACATTACAGACAAATGTTTAAGTTTGATTAAGCTATCTGTATTCTTATAAACATTGAATCGTATTTATTTTATCGGGTATAACTCTTATTAAATTACACGATTGATTTATAATCCCATCATATTTCTTTAGTTTTTCCTTTTTATTTATTAATTTATTTATTTTTTAATTTTTTTTTTTGTTGCTATTCTGCAAATATAACACAATATGTCATTAATCGCAACAGTTCCTGCTATATAAAACATATTGCCTCGGTTCAGACCGCATGCAATTTAATACAACTAGGCCGATCAATTTAACGGATTTTCCGCTTTGAACTATAGCTAGATTAATTAAAGATTTTGGATTTGTGGGGCCTAATAAATTGTTGAAATTTATAATATTTAATTTTCATGAAACTGTGTAGTATAACGGATGTACTGTGTTTAAAGGAGCTAAACCTATGGCTCGAAATTATCCATAATAATCGAAATTAAACACACGAATTAGAATTCAATATTGTTTAATTTTAATCAATATCTATGTTGTTATTTCGTGAAATTATAGGATCCTAATATCCAATATATAAGACACAATTAACATTTTAAAATCAGTAGATGATGTCGTGTACTCTGTGATTTCGAGTTGCCATTTGTAATGATCAAAGAAAAGCATGTCCGAGAAGACCAGTGCGGAAATAATAAAAGAATGTTAGCTGATTCACTAACGACAAAATAGTAACAAAAACGATTTTCAGTCAATCTGGACTAGCCCATATTTCACCATTGATAAGATATTCTGTATTTGTTTTTAAAAACATTGAATGTAAATCTCTCTATTATATACACTCAAATTACGTTAATATGTACTTTTAGACCCAAAATATACGCCAATTAATTAAAGTATAAAAACTGTGTGGTATATGCGTAGTCTTTAAAGTATGAAAACTGCGTAGTATATGTATAGTGTTTAAAGTATGAAAACTGTATGTATAGTGTTTAAAGTATGAAAACTGTATGTATAGTGTTTAAAGTAACAAAACTGTTTGTATAGTGTTTAAAGTATGACGGAGGGGCTGACAAGGAAAGCTGTCTAGTCGTTCGGATGGGACGAAAAACCGAGGTCCCGTGTACACATTGGCGTGCACATAAAAGACCCCGTGGCAGTTGGAATTCGATATAAGAGTAGGCCGTAGTGCCGCTGTCCGGGCAAAATTTCCCTCATAGCACACTGTATGGCGTATGCCCGTCTTCATTAGCCCAGGTTAGGAGCAGAACAGTAGGACGTTAAACTCCATTTGATTTCATTTCATTTCGTTTAAAGTATGAAAACTGTATGTTGTATAGTGTTTAAAGTATGAAAACTGTATGTATAGTGTTTAAAGTATGAAAACTGTATGTATAGTGTTTAAAGTATGAAAACTGTGTAGTATATGTATATTGTTTAACGTATGAAAAAAATAAGAGTACTCAATCCCATTAATTAAGGACTTTTTGCGTATTTAATTCTTGTTCACGCTATTATAAATTTGAATTTGCTGGAATAGTCTTTGTAAGTTAAAAAAAATGGCTACCTTGCGTGCAAGTCGAGAAAACAATTAAAATCGAAGTCAACAATAGTTAATGATCATACTATTTCATCAAAGTTCAGGCAGGTTGGAATATTTGACCTGGAATTTAGAAATTGTATCTATTACGTGGGGAAATATTGTTGCAAATCGTTCCCAAGTTTTCGGTTTTTATGCCTTTAATGTCTTAACAAATCATTTTTATAACACCAATTTAAACGATGGGTTTGATCGCTATGACAACAAAACGATCAATTACATTTAGAAATATTAGAATATTTCAAGACGCAATAACAATATCCATCTCTTCTCGTCAGATTGGATCCCGCAGTGGTTACACTGTACCGTAACGATTCTTTCTGATATTATATATAGGTATTCCAGAATGATAATAAAATTCCACGTGATCAGATGGGGCAACAAATTTGTGACTCGAATATTGAAGTAATAATAATTCAGTAATAATTTATTTACTTCCAATGTTTGCAGGTAAAAATTTCAAAAAGTAGGCTACAATAATTGTGTAATTACTTGGCGTCAAATCTCAATAGTAAGTACTTTTCAACTTAAATATGTGTTGTGTAAGATTTCGATAAAGAGCTGACAGTTCTCGGTACAATAGTAAAAAAAAACCAGATAATGAAAAGGGAAAATATTGAAAATTTCAGTCGCATTACTTCATTCTGTGCGGAGTTATGGTCGTTTGAAGAAAAGTATAGTCTCGGTTGTTATTGCTACCGTTGTTACGATAATAAACAAATTTTCGATTATTAGTTTGTTAATTAAATTATAAACTGGCAACCGTGTTTAAAGCCGTTCAAATTATGGGCTTGACATGTGAATAAATGTCTAGTTAATGATTTATATAACATTTGAGGCCAAACGAAAGATCTGCATTAGGCAGATTTAGTTCTTACATAATTATCATTAATATTGAACATTTTGATCATTATAATAATAATGGACAAGATTATTGTCTTTATGGTACGTAGTCAGGAGCGAGACTGGCTATAAAGTTTGATTGGTGAATTAGATAAGTTCATATACATGTAATCGGTAATCTTGTCACGAATGACTATTAAAAATAACATTGCTACGACCATAGAGTACGTAATTGTATAATTTAAATGAGCAGTAAAAGTGTTTGCGAGCTTTCATTGACAAAGCCTTGGTCCCGTTTTCGCTAGCGTTCAATAACTCCGCAAAAATTTCAATAGGAACTCTCCTTCTGCCTAAAGGAGCAACCTCGGTAAGTTTTGAGGAAAAATCAAGAACTCTGATTTGCGTTTACAGACAGGCGTACACACCGGCAGGTGTACGAACAAATAAAGCTGAGGTCAAACTACTGTCCCACTATTTGTTCTCAATCCTTTGGTGCTTACCCTCATCCACATGGTCTGTTTCTGAGCGGGAGCCACGGTGGCTCAGTGAGTAAGACGTTGGCTTCCTGGAGATCCCGTGATCGATCCCTCTGTTGACCGGAATTTTCCCGGCGTGCCCCTCCCCCTGTCAGTGGTGCAGGACGGAGAGCATGGAAAGAGACAACACATGGGACGAAAAACCGAGGTCCGATGTACGCATTGGCGTGCACGTAAAACATCCCTTGACAGTTTCAATTCGGTATAAGAATAGGCTGTTGTCCGGATAAATGTTTCATCATAGCACATATATGGCGTATGACTGTGTTCATTAGCCCAGTCGGTGCAGAACGTAAGACGTTAAACCCCATTTCATTTCATTTCTGTTTCTGGGCTGACAAGCACACACATGACCCGAATCCTACCCAACGACCCTTCAAGATCATCTTTTTGAAACCCCCTTGGGCTATTTGCCTGATTGTTTGCAATTAGACAGAAAGGAAGTTCACTAGATCCTTTTCATGTTTCCTGAGAAATGTACTCCAATTATTATATATCACTATAAAAGTGGGGCTTTGGCGTTATAAACATACATTTATAAAATGATAATAGTTAAACCATCTGCTTGTCAAGTAATAAAGACCTTAATTTATTAAACAGCTGCCACATGAAACGAACTATAGTAATTAGTTAATCTATTATAATAACATAAATAAGACATAATATTTGATGACAGTAATGTTATTCCATCTTTAACAAATTTGAGTGAAGCCTGTATCTTTACATTCCTGGGACTGTGCAGAGCTCACTTGATTTGATATTTTTTTTATTTTTTTTTTGGGGGGGGGGGGGCGGGG